CTGGATGCAGCATACTGATGGGTTTTAGTTTTTTATCCAAATTGCCTGTCTGTCTTTGGATTGGGGGATTTAGTCAATTTAAATTTAGAATTAATAATGATATATGTGAGTTTAATACTGCCATTTAATATTAGCTGGCTATTTTGCCCATTAGTTGACGTAAATTCTTCATTATATTGATGCTCTTTTTGGTATTTTTTAGAAAGGCTGATACTGGTTGTTCCTTTCTATGTGTAGTGGTTCTTTCAGAAGCTCTTGTAAAGCAGGCCTGGTGGTGATGAAATCTCTGAGTGCTTGCTTGTTCACAAAAAACTTTATTTTTCCTTCACTTATGAAGCTTAGTTTGGCTGGATGTGAAATTCTTGGTTGAAAGTTCTTTTCTTTAAGGATGTTGAATATTGGTCCCCACTCTCTTCTGGCTTGGAGGGTTTCTGCTGAGAGATCTGCTGTAAGTCTGATAGGCTTCCCTTTGTGGGTAACCTGACCTTTCTCTCTGGCTGCCCTTAGTATTTTCTCCTTCATTTCAACCCTGGTGAATCTGACGATTATGTGCCTTGGAGTTGCTCTTCTTGAAGAATATCTTTGTGGTGTTCTCTGTATTACCTGGAGTTGAATATTATCTGCCTTACTAGGTTGGGAAAATTTTCCTGAATAATATCCTGAAGCATATTTTCCAGCTTGGATTCATTCTCTTCGTCACATTCAGGTACACCTATCAAGCGTAGATTAGGTCTTTTCACATAGTCCCATATTTCTGGGAGACTTTGCTCATTCCTTTTTATCCTTTTTTCTCTAATCTTGTCTTCTTGTTTTATTTCATTGAGTTGGTCTTCGACCTCTGATATCCTTTCTTCTGCTTGATCAATTCGGCTGTTAAAACTTGTGCATACTTCACGTAGTTCTCGTATTGTGTTTTTCAGCTCCATCAATTCACTTATATTCCTCTCTAAATTGTGTATTCTTGTTAACATTTCGTCAAACCTTTTTTCAAAGTGCTTAGTTTCTTTAGATTGGGTTAGAACAAGTTCTTTTAATTCACAGAAGTTTCTTATTATCCACATTTTGAAGCCTGCTTCTGTAATTGGAACACACTCGTTCTCCATCAAGCCTTGTTCTGTTGCTGATGAGGAAGTGTGATCCCGTGCTGAGGGGGAGGCGTTCTGATCTTGGGTATTCTCAGCCTTTTTTTGGCTGTTTTCTTTCCTTCGTTGTAGATTTATCCATCTGTGGTCTTTATAATTACCGTCTTTGTAGTTGGGTTTCTGAGTGGACGTCCAACTTATTGATTCTCAGCGCCGAAATCTGAGCAACCCACTGCACGGACTAAATCAGCGGCGTTAAGATTGATGGTGCTTTTCTGACTCTGCACCAAGAACCGACGCTCCGAGGCGCCAGCAAAACCACCTCGCTGGTCACACGAGTCGTGCTGGCGACCCGTGGGGCTCCTCCGCTGGGAATCTCCTGGTGTGTGAGCAACAAGAATTCATGTGAAGGTATGGTGTCCTCTTGTTCTTTGTGCTTTCACTGGGAGCTACAATCCGAGCTGCTAGTGATCAGCTATCTTGGCTCTCTCTCCGCCATCTTACATTTCTGCCTAGCATGGTCAATATTATCTCATCCTCATATCTGTAACTCTTCACTGTCAGTGGAGTTCAGTTATTTGAAAAAGGACAGCAGTAACTAGGCATTCACACAGGTATTGAGTACCTACTCTATGTGCCAGGTACTTTTCTCGGTACTGAGGTGAGTAGGGCTGAACCCTTGCTCTCATGGAGGTTATCTTCTAGCGCTGAGAGCAGTGAAGAAATTCAATTGGAGTAGAATGTTAGAAACAGTATGGGAGTGAAGGATGTAGTAGGGCAGGCGTCCCCAAACTACGGCCCGTGGGCCGCATGCGGCCCTCTGAGGCCATTTATCCGGCCCCTGCCGCACTTCAGGAAGGGGCACCTCTTTCATTGGTGGTCAGTGAGAGGAGCACAGTATATGGAGGCCCTCCAACGGTCTGAGGGACAGTGAACTGGCCCCCTGTGTAAAGAGTTTGGGGACGCCTGTAGTAGGGTATGTAGGGTGGTCAGGGAGCCAAGACCTGAATGGTGAGTGGCCAGAAGTGTGAAGCCTTGGGAACAAAACATTCTGGTAGAGGGAAGGTAATGAGTAATAAGCTTTGACTGTGTTTAAGGAACAGGAAGGCCAGTGTGGCTGGAGCAGAATGTGGGAGAGGAGTTGGAAATGAGTTCAGGGAGGTGTTTGGGTTGCAGAGCTGTAGATCTTGGTGGAATATGATTTTTTATTCAGCATGAGATAGGAAGGCATTGAAGTGTTTTAAGCAATGGAGTGACTGACCTGATTTATATTTTCAAAAGATTTATTTGGAGAAGTGGCATGTAAGGGTGGAAATGTACAAATAAAAAAGAGAATTTGTGAAGGAAAAGAACAGCCTTATAAATGCAGAGGACAAGAGTGCTGGCTAGACTGGGGTCAAGAAAGGCTGCCTGAGGAAATGGCACCTGAGTTGCACTTGATGGAAGATGAAAAGAGGAAGGATGGTTCCAACACAGGATCAACTTTGGCCAAGGCCCTGTAGCATAAAGGAGCATGTCAGTGCTGGGGAACATCAGGGGAATGATTAGAGTTAGGCAGGGCCCAGATTCCACAGGCCTTACAGGCACAGTTAAGTGTTTTTTTCTGTGCTTCATTTAAGAGCGTCGGGATACCACTGAAGGGTTTTAAATAGGGACAGGAGTGCTGAAGGGAGAGGCTAAGGGAAACAGTTCATAGTCAGTTTTGTAATTTAAGAAATTCTGCTGCGTGGAGGACAGTTTAAAGGAGGTCTGAGTGGAAGGCGGTTGATCACTTAGGAGCTACGTGAAGGTCCGAGTGAGAGGTGAAGGTAGAGTGAACTAGAATGGTAGCATGAAAGTTGCAAAGAAGTAACTCGATTTGAGAGCTGTCTTAGGAGGTAAAAACAAAAGACTTGCTGATGGGTTCGGTTGGGGGGTGAGATGGAAGGCAGTGTCTTTCTGGCTTCCACAACTGGATTCACTGAACTAGGGAACATTGCATAAGGATAGGCTTTTACTGGAGAGGGGCATAGAGAGTGTGAATTGAGTTTTGAGGTACCTTTGTGAAAAGTAAGTGCAAATGTAAAAGTAGGCAGTGGTATATAGGGGTCTGGAATTTGGAAAAGTGGTCTGTTAATAGCTGTATGGCCTCTTTTGTTAATTTTGAGGACTTAAATATGCCAGTCACTGTAAGGTATTGGGGATGCAAAGATGAGTAAGATGTTATTCAGCATTAGTTGAGTGCCTACAGTCTCTGTGTTCCGGTTATTGTCCTTTGGGAGCTTACTTACCAACAAGACAGGTCAGTAACAAAATCATAGCAAGGTATGATGGGGCAGCGCAGGTGGAAACAATCTGACTGAAGAGCTGACCTAGATTGGCAGCATCCGCTGAAGGCCTTGAAGCCTGTTCTGAGGCTTGAAAGAGGCAGAATTAGCCAGACAAGGAGCAAACAAAAAGTTCCAATCGTAAAAGACCTGGAGGTGTGAGAGGACAGACTTGACAACTCAGAAGAGCCAGCAGCTCCATATCCCTGCCTCTCACTGACCGGCGAACAAGGTGAACAAACAGGAGGGCTCCTCACCGGCAAATCTGCTTAAGTTGGATGTTTTTATGGTGGTAAGGGTTGCGGTGAGACTTGACATAGCTGTTTGGAAGGAGAGGAAAAGAATATTCATAGCTGGAAGGGACTTCAGAGAACTTTTAGCCCTGTTTTCTAATTTACAAATGAGGTTACCAAAAGCCAAAGAGGACAGCTGTTTTGCTAAGAGGAAAGGTACGGCCCACATCTCCCAGAATCGAGGTTCTTTACATTGCTACAGGAATGTCAGTACCCCTTAATTGTTTATTCCCTTGCTCTCTCTGACATATAGAAACAAAATGTGCAGGAAATACACAGAATGCTGTCATTGAGTAATGCATGTGTCTATATGAGCTGTGTTTTCTGGATCTGATGTCAGCTATATATTCTTCATGTATATGTTTAATGGACCTGTTCTTTAATGAGTTTCCTAGGATTTAAATGGAGTGTTCTCTCTGAGCTGCCAGTATTTGGGCCCTCTCTGCATCTTATTTTCTAGCTATTTGTACCTTTGTCTTTTTCTTCATCATATACTAGTAGTGAACAATAATCTTAGTTGTTGTAATAGTGACAATAGTGGAAATTCTTGAGTGATTATTGTATTCCAGGTACCATATTAATTGCTTTACTTTGCCTCATTTAATTCTACCAACAGCCCTCTGAGGTAGCATTTTATCATTATCCACATTTTATAGAAGAGAAAAGTGAGTCTAGAAAGAGGTTAAATAATGTATTAAAGGTTGCAGAGTAGTAAGTGGTGGTGCCAAGTTTTTTGTTTTGTTTTGTTTTTTAAGATAGAGTCTTACTCTGTTGCCAGGCTGGAGTCCTGCACAATGTTGGCTCACTGCAGCCTCCACTTCCAGGTTCAAGCAATTTCCATGCCTCAGCCTCCCGAGTAGCTGAGATTACAAGGGACTCACCACCATGTCTAGCTAATTTTATATTTTTAGTAGAGATGGGGTTTCACCATGTTGGCCAAACTGGTCTCAAACTCCTGACCTCAGGTGATCCACCTGCCTTGGCCTCCCAAAGTTCTGAGATTACAAGTGTGAGTCACCCACCACGCCTGGCCTGAGATTTTAGTTCTGGCAGTGTGACTTTGGATACCCTTTACTGCCTTTCCTAAGACAGTCTCTAAAGCAGTGCTGTTCAACAGCACTATAACGTGAGGTACAAATGCAAACCTTGTATGTAATTTAAAAGCTTCTAATAGTTATTCTGAAGAAAAAAGTAGAAAGGACCAGTTGAAATTCATTTAATATATTTCATGAAGCCTAATATATTACCATTTTGTCAACTACTCAATAAAAAAATTTTTTAAGTAAGTCTGAAATACAATTTGTATTTTACACTTACAGCTCATCTCAGTTTGGACTTGCCGTATTTCAGTGCTTAGTACCCACGTGTGGCAAGTGGCCACCATTGTGGCCATTGCAGCTCCAAAGGGACAGGAGAGTTGATGAAAAGTCATCATGAGCCCGAGAGAACAAACCTTGCCGAAAATCAGCAGATGAGGCAGTTGAAAGGAAAGAAGGTAAGAGTAGTCTGATACAGTGACTGCCCCCAGGTCCCTTCATCTCAGACTTGAAGGGATTTGGAGGTGAGGAGAGTGTGGAGAGTGGAAAAGAGTTTGTCCTTTTATTGCAGGGAGGCTAGTAAGGTTTTTCTCTTTCTAAATTGAGACTGCATTTCCCCACATTGTTACTCATCATGGTTAATTTCCACAGTATTCCATTCCTTAAGTCACCTTGGTAATAAATAGGCATTCGTGGGCTGGCCACCAGATGTTGCAACATTGCTTCTAAGGAAAAGACTTATGAATTCTAAGGCTTATATAGAATTTGTTTTTGGAATGTCATCTTTTGTTGATCATGGAGGGAGTGTTTGAAGAAGGAATCATAGTTATCTTTTGCCTTATGATTATTAAGTTACAGTACAAGAGCAGGATAATAAACTTTGTTAGTTGGTATCTGGGGTATCACCTGCTCTTTATTCCACTGTGGCTAGGCTGGGCTTGGCTTGGACTAGGCCTTTACCAATTGTTGGCTTGAATATTAGTTGAAAGGCAGACATTCTTGAAAGTCAGCTATGTGAATCATTTACTTCATGAACTTCCATTCTTAAACACTTGCTTTTCATATATTCCTACTCATTATAACTAAACTAACTAACATAGAAGTATAGAAAGAACAGAGCCCTAGCCTTCCTGTGTTCTGAAAATGCATATGTGTGCACTGTCTAGAAACACCTGACCATGAGTTTTATATTTTTGTGAATGGAAAAATTGAATAATGATATGTCAGAGATTTTAAGGTGTTGATTTTCAGGATAATACCATTGTTAAGGTTTGTTTACATTCCACTCAAAGTATCTATAAACTTAACAGTTGAAAAACAAAAACTAATGTAATCGCTAGAGACTTTGAGAGAAAGGTGTGGTATGATAATTAAGTGGTTTTGTAAGTTTAAATACATTTAGAAAAAAATGAGAAACATAAAAAGTGTGATAAGAGAGTAAAGTAGAAATGAGGAAACCAAATACCCACTGAATACGAGGGGAATGGTGAACTTTGTAATGAAAATATTTGATGATAAATAGTTGAGAGATATTTTTAAGATGGACACATACATTTTATAATCAACTCTTGAGACTCACATGGAGTCTCACTTCTGTGTTTAGTGTCACAAACTTGTTTATTTCATCCTTGTGGGACACCAGGAATAAAGACCTAGTCACTGCCCTCCAGGATTTGCATTTGGACACATATTTAGCTAATTCTCAAGAGTCTCTTGTTAACTAGAATTCTATCTGCATCAGTGTTTGCTCATGTCTCATTGCATTGTTTCTTGGCACAAGTAGGAGGTCATCTGTATTTTTAAGAAAATGCATTTTTGCCGGGCTCGGTGGCTCAAGCCTGTAATCCCAGCACTTTGGGAGGCCGAGGCGGGTGGATCACGAGGTCAAGAGATCGAGACCATCCTGGTCAACACGGTGAAACCCCGTCTCTACTAAAAATACAAAAAATTAGCTGGGCGTGGTGGCGCGTGCCTGTAATCCCAGCTACTCAGGAGGCTGAGGCAGGAGAATTGCCTGAACCCAGGGGGCGGAGGTTGCGGTGAGCTGAGATTGCGCCATTGCACTCCAGCCTGGGTAACAGGAGCGAAACTCCGTCTCAAAAAAAAAAAAAAAAAAAAGAAAATGCATTTTAAAAAATGCATCCTTTTGATCCTCCTTTAATAATTACCACTTTAAATTTTTCAAAATGTCATTTATGTAAAACAGAAATCCATTCTTGTTCTAAAAGAAGGAAACACTTCAGAAATACATTAAGTTTAATCATAAAACTTCCCAATCATTCCCTGTCTTCCCACATTCCCACTTCCCCCTCTGGAGGTTACTGCTGTAAATAGTATGATGTGTGTACTTGCAGTTCTTTTTTCTTTGTGTATGCTTACTTAATACTTAATAAATATTTAGGTACCTTCTAGATGCCAGGCATGTACATATACATACATGTATTTAGATACACGTATATCTTCCCATATATTCCATATATTTAAATAAAAGGATCCTATTGTACTGAGATCTGCTTGCTCATGTCATTTACCCATGCTTTGGGGCTTAAGTCAGAACATACAGATCTATTCCATTCTTATTGATGGCTATATTGTGTGGATGCACTGTAATATATTTTCCATTCACTGTATTGATGAACATTTAGTCCCCCCAGCTTTATGCAGTTAGAAGCAATGCTGTAATTAATAACCTTATGTATTTTTAGAAACACAATTACTGGGCCATAGGAAATGTATATTTACAATTTTGATAGACTGTGCCAAACTGACCTCCAAAAAGCGGAACTAGTTTATACTTACAACAGTATACAAGAACATCGTTTCCTACATACATGATTTTGCTACAGTTTTAGAGCTTGAAAGACCACAGAATGTGGCTTAACCTTCCTTTTCCATTTTTAAGGGGCTTAAAATGATATCCCCAGATCTTACCCCCACAGAACTATGAGGACTTCTCCATTTCTGATCTTTGTTCCTATGAAGACATCATAGTTTAGGCACATTTTATATTGCAGGGTTCTGCCCCAGTGTTTATTTGTTTCTGTCTCTTCTCTGTTGTTACTCAAAGCAAACTTCCTTTTCAGTCTCAAATTTTCTGTTAGTGCCACTGAGTGTCTCCTCCCCTGGCTTTGTTGTCTGCATGGAACATCTTTCATTTAATATCCTTAAAAAGCTACCTTCTTTAATTATTTAAACCTCACTGTATCCACAGGGCGTATGGGTTACTTTAGAATTACCGTGGCTACAGCAAAGGGAGTATTTTATGAATCTTACTTCGTCATTAGCAGCTGATTCCTGTTAGCCAAGTAAAATATAATCTTCTGGTTTATATAAACTCCGAGAAGTTGGCATTTGTCTGTTACAACATTTCTGCTGGCATTTGTCTTTTACAGCATTTCTGCTACACTTGATGGCTTTGTTTATCAAATAGTGTGATGCCATTTCAGCTAATGAAATCTAACATTTAAAAAATTTATTAACCACATTTTATTTTTTCTTTTACAAATGACCTTCAGAAAGTATTCTGCATATGAAGTGTAAATAGGTTCTCTTCTTTTTGTGTCAGTACATTTATTTCTAAGGTGCCTATATTGTAAGCTTCTATTACAAAGCCATAGTTCCAGTAATATCTTCTTTTGATGGGCTATGAGAATTTGTGTCAGTGACATCCCAAGTTGGTGCTTTAGCTGAGTTGATCACATACCAAGATTATGACTTCAGGTAAAGAATCAAGTGATGAAATTCTAAGGAACAGAGATCAGCCTTGACACATATTTCATTCATGACAAAAGAAAGAGAATTCAATATTAGATGTGAATTAAATTTGGTCCGTGAATGTTGTTCAAAACTGAGGAGAGCAGTCTAATCATAAGCTCATCAATTATTCATTAGTGTCTTGAGGGTATTAGTGCATAGAATACAGAAGAACCATCTACTACCCTTTAGCGTTTTTGTTCTAAAACAGAAGGAAAAAAAATATTATTCTCTCTCTTTTTTTAAATTGGATTTTATTCTCCCACACTGTAGGGGAAGTGTATGTGTGGACAGAAGGCGGCAAAAGGCAGGCCACAAATTTGCTTATTCATGAGGGTTTGTGGAAGTTTGGTGGAAAAATTAAGTTTGAAACATGAAAGGCCGACAGTTTTATAGGAAAAGTCTGTTTCCCTAATACTAGGAGAGACATGGACTTCTTAAACTTAAACTCTTTCTTTTTTTTTTTTTTGAGATAAGGTCTTGCTTGGTCACCCAGGCTAGGGTGCAGTGGAATGATGTGCAGTGGAGTGATTATGGCTCACTGCAGCCTTGACTTCCAGGGCTCATGTGAACCTCCTGCTTCAGCCTCCGGTGTAGCTAGGACCACAGGTGTGCGTGACCATGCTTAGCTAATATTTTCTCTTTGTTTTGAAGAAATGAGGTTTCACTTTGTTGCCCATGCTGTAAACTCTTTTTGCCTAAGCTTTTTTGTTCCTAAAATGGAAGTTGTTGACTTGAGTTGCGCCTGTTCATTCCTTTATTCTTACATACACAGTATAGATTTGGATTTGGAAGCATTCTTGGTCAATTTGGTGGCCCCTAGTTCAGCCAGTCAGTGGCTATAATTTTTGGACAGCCAGTAACTGGCTCCTAAACTGTCATTTTGGACTCCTAGACTGCATGGGGATACTTGTTTCTGAATTTCTTTTTCTTCTGCTGCTGCTTTTTAAAAAATCACAGTAGAGAATGTTATGTTGGAGTTGGCATAAAGTCAATGTTCATAAAACAAATGGGGAAGAGGTTATATGGGGGAAAAAGAGCAAAATACCAGTATAATTTGTGGAACATTTCCTTTGGATTATATTCTAGAATGGCACAAATACACTTATTAATCAAGATTTTATGTTGTACAAATTTCTGAGTTGATCCTTTTTTATTTTACAATTCCACAGAAAATAGCCAAGATACCAGGTTTAACAAACAGTAGTCAAAGTATGCACAGTAGAACATTTTTACAACATTCTACAAATGAAAAGCCAATTTCCTTTACACAGACAGTAATGCAAATGTTCACAGTAGCTTTGCTACAAAGAAATTATATTGCTGCAATTGATGATTCCACTGCTTTAATGGGAGTTCATGCTATAATAACCTTTATTAATTAGGAAAATATCATATAATTTAAATCTGAGCAAGAATATTACAGACCCATAAGTTGCTGCTGAAGAAATTAAACAGAAATGGCTTGTCTTTTGTTTTCAAATATTATTACAACTAATAACCTCTGCACTCATCATGACTTTTTCATTGCTTTTTGGCTCTAGGTGCATACATTTTTCTGTTCCCAGAATACAGATCCTGCAGTTTTCAGTGACTCGGGACCAATAAGGCTGAGAGTATGAAATCATAAAGGATAGTTATATAATCTTTGAAATACATAAGTGATAGCAACTTCTTAGAGTTGCAATCTATGTCTTGTCATTCC